TGCGGGGCAGTGCAGACGTAGTAGAGCCTCATGGCATCCTGGGGGGCAGGAGGGGACACATTGTGGGGGACAGTGACAGCTTTGGGAAGGCATGGGGCTCAGCGGGGATCACCTCACCTCTGCTCTGGCGCTGTGCGACTGGAAGAAGACGGCCTCCTTGTGCCCGCACCTGGGGGAGAGAGGGACAGCAGTGACGGGGTGGGGGGGGACACCTAAGAGTCCTGTGGGGGACATTGGAGCCCCATGGGGACACAGGGTGGGACAGAGGGGTACACTGAAGCTGTGGGAGGCACAGGAGACCCAAAGGGGGACACTAGAACAGCATGGTGGTGGGGGTGCTCCATGTCCCCACAGGGGTCCCCAGGCAGTCCCTGACATCCCTACACCCCCATGGGGATCCCCACGTTCCTGGGGGGTCCCTGACATCCCCGGGGTGTCCCTGATATCCCCACACCCCGACAAGGCTCCCCATGTCCCTAGGGGATCCCTGACACCCCCACAGCCCCAGGGGGTCCCCAAGGTGGGGTGGGGGTCCCCAGGTCCCAGCTCACTTCTGGCAGGGGTGGTCCTCAGTGCGGGGCAGTGTGGGGTCCTGGGAGACATCAGCGATGATCTGTGTGAGCTCACTGCAAGGAGACACCCCGGGGTGTTAATTAGCACCCTTAATTACCCCCAGGCTAGTCATAACTCTGGCACCTCCCTCATTAATTTACTCTAATAAGTTATTCTCATTAATTTTACCCACATTAATTGCCCTTTAATTGTTCTCTCTTATTGCCTCCCCTTATTAACTACCCACCAGGTACCCCTCACTCTTATTAACTACCCCAATTAATCCTTTCCCAATTATTAATTACCCAAAACCTGTTCTCCATCACTAATTGCACCCATTAATTGCCCTCCACTCATCTTCCCTTATTGTCTCTCCTTATCAATCACTCGTTCATTACTTCCTCCTAATTATTCTCTTATTAACTACCCTAAGTCCTACTTTGCTAAATAGATTCTTATCAATTGCCCCATTGGTTCTTTTTAATTGTTTTTCCCTTATTAATTAGTCTCCACCTACACAACCCCTGGGGTGGGAAACACTAAGACCAGGACCCACGTGGCCAGAGGGGACCCCTAACAAACTCACTCCACTTCGTGGGTGATCTTGTTGACATAGATGCAGCTGTTGTCAGCCTCTTGCTGGTAGTCACAGTTGCGGCACTGGGGAAGAGAAGCAGTTATGGACTGGTCCCAGTGCCAAACTGGGAGGGGCAGGAGACAGCCCCATGAGGTGCTGGGACTGGTCCCAGTACCCCAGTGGGGGCTGTGGGGCACTTACAGCATAAAGCAGAATCCGGTTCTCCTTGTCCTCCTTGGGGTACAGCATGTTGTTGCTGGGGGGGGATGACATGGGGGGTGTTACT